CGAACGAAAGAGAACTGGCGAAGTTCAATTAAATCCATATTTTAACTTCGCCAAAGTATTTGAATTCCATTCCTTTCGCCTGAACTTGAACGTCGCGCCATGGGGTTCGGCGAAGAATTCCTCTCGCGCAGGAAGAGTTTCAGGATTCATAGAAGAAGTTAAACCGAGTCGCTGCGCCTCGAAACTTGTGTACAAACTACCTTACCCGCTTTTTAGCGGCAACTTTCGCTATAACAGTTGTTCGTAATGCGTTACAGGTATCAGGAATCTCGTTAATACCATCGACCTTGTAAAAGTTTCAACGCAGCCTTCGGGTAATCCAATTATTCATTATTATGTAGACGTAAGATTTATAATGAATTATGTTTACAATACGGTATTGGAAAATTGTTAGCACAACGTAAATTTCTTTATTGATTACTGCAAGCGGGAAAATATATTTTAACAGTTCATACCCGAAGAATTCGCATGTTTGAAACTTTTCTTTCCACGGGATACTTCGGTGGAGAAAATTAAAGGGTTAAATCTACCGATGAAGTAACTGTTCTAGACTCGAAACGTGCCCACCCGCTATCTATCTAGTCCGCTTCACTCGCCGGGACTTAATTTAGATTCGTGCGGATTAACTTCTAACTTTTGACCGGCTTTGCGGCCACTACAAAACTCGTCCTCACGCCACACCTTGTCCAAAAACTTTCACAACGCAATTCGAATATTTTCTGACGAGTAACCTGATCAGTTTCAGCATACCATTACTATACCATTACTAGTAGCATACCATTACTATATGAAATGTCACGAACTACGATATTCAGATTAACAAATTTTACTTGAATAACTTCATTCGTTAGAACATTTTCAATGAATCAAATGACATGTATAGAATCTATTGAAAAGATTGGATTGTCAATAGTGATTAGGGTGGAACGGACACATGTTTGATGAAAAGAAAATCGATAGAGCAAGGGATAGGAATCCAATAGACCTAATAGGCGATGCTAGCCGAGGCTTCGCGAGTCCCTCGCAAATTGAAGTAGCCTCGATGCATCGCGCCGGCTGCATTTATCGCGGCTGTCTGCGTTTATCAAACTGATTACAACTGCCGTAAATCGTTGTCACCGGTAGAACAATTTCGGGCCCCGTTCACCTCTTCTGGGACAAATTGTACCTGGGAACCTTTATTTCCCTGCAATACCGCCCATCCCTAGAGTTTCATCATTGCACGATTGCTTATGACGATACATAGTTGATCGTCAAATTATTCTGTACCAGACATTATTTTACGCGACAACAATGAGATTTATCACGTGAACAATCGTTGACTAATTCGTCGTATAAATGAAACATTTATTATACATATATTTACGCGTTAACTACGACTGTTAACGAATTCGATTTATTTAAGCGAGTTTTCCTAACGTGAAATAAGCTTAGACCAGAAGACATTTGTGGTGGCTCCAGGTACGTTTTCGGACCGTCTGGCAAATAGTTCTCCACTAGACTGCGGTCTCGACGAGCTAAGTACGGTCCAGGAAAAGTAGCACTCTCTTCGCCCATGGTGTTTCTCCTTTAATAAGATAATACCCCATCCTCGATTGCGTAAACTGAAGTAGCAATGGTAATTCATTTAATATTTAGTTAATTAAATAAACCGACACGACCTCGGAATTGCTATCACTTTCCAACGGCGTTTAGAGAGTCTACAATTTATTGGCTAGAGTACTGCACATCGGGCGGGTGAATAATGGAGGGACAGATAACCGTGACATTTATGTAATAAATTAAACAACGGGACGGAATGGAATACCGTATTGTTTCAGTTCTGTAAGACACGCTAATTAAGCAATCGAATTTGTTTGTTGCGGCTAATAAATCGTGCGTAATCAACCGACAATTATCCAGCGCTGCACTGTCGGACGCGGTCGAAGCGTCAGTTATTTCCATTCACACGTTGCTATTCAAGGGCCCGCGTTGCAAACCGAGGGAAGGGAATGGAAGGTGTTGGCAAACGGTTAAGCACGCTTTCTGCGCAATAATGACCAGCTATTGCACAATTGGGAATTACGCGGTGAATTTGAGCCCCTCCATGTTTAATTCAGCGCCCGGAGATTATTAATCTGATTTTCCACTCCTGCGTTACATACTGGATATGTTTAAAATGATGAACGCGTCCTAGACTGTCTAACTGCACAAACATCAGTTAAGTACTTGGATGGTCGGTCTAACTGCATAAACACTAATTAAGTATTTGGTTTCTCGAGTACCTTTTAAAATAAAATAACACTCGCGAGTTTTTTGTAACTAGAATTTCGCCATGTCTGGATACGGGAACCGATACTTTAATCGGACAGCAAAGCAATTTTCTATACAACCCCGACACATTTAATTTCCCCTTTCCACGGAGAGATTACTTCTGCAAACTTTTCTGCCGGGGAACAAAGAGGGAGATTCGCTATCGAGTAGCGAATTAACGAAAAGAAAGAATCTCCCCGGCGAGAAACATCGTCACTCCTTTCGCTCGCGGAGTACACGCGCTATCGCGCTTTAAGGATCGTCGTAACGACTTATCTTCAAATTGCATCGAAATGAAATTTCGCGGCAGCCTTTGGAACAGGCTTGGAAATCGTACTGGAAAACTCGCGTCCCTGCATTTTCCCCTGGTCACGTTTCCAGGCAACGAGCGTCTCGCAACTAGACAGGGGACAGACGATTATCGGTGAGGAAAGGCAGGAGAAGATAAAAGGTGGGCCGACCGTTTCTTTCTCCAAACGAGGCGACCAGGTAAATTTCTTCCTTTGCGTGAGGATGTAACAATCAGTACGAGCCGTCCCGAATCGATCCTGTCCGTCTCTTTGTCTTCACTCTCTCTTTGTCTATCGCACAGTCGATTCCGCGGCCGTCTTCGAGATGATCCGGTTTGTCCCTCGCCTCGTCCCGGTCTCTCAATCGACAATAGCCCCGATCGGTTGAATTTCGAAGCAATAGCTCGCGGACGCAATCGTCTATACTCTATACGGTCTGCGGGCACGGAGCGTATTCAATGAAATTCGATTATCCCGCACGATCTTATCGCTCGAGGGCAGGTGCAAGATCGTGGCCAGCAGCGGATCCAAGCGCAGGTACATCCAATTTCCGGTGAAGAATTACCTCGACCTTCTACGACACAGTCGTAACCGCAACTTAACTCGTACGCTGTACATGCTTCCTTACTTCATAACCCTTTTCGCTTGTCACGATTTCTCACTTCTTTGTTTTAATCGTCCGTTTCCTCCCGGTTTATGTACTGCTTTTATGATCTCGTGTCTGTTGCATTTCTGATTTTCCCATTTTAGAAACACTGTCCTCCATCGTTTGAGCTGAAGACCATAAGATGCTTGTTTATCTTGTAAGTGTATTACAGAATTAGGAAATAAATTATGCACAGCTAGTTAAACAAGTCGCAATCTTTGAAACCTCGTTCTTAATTGATCCTTGATTTTCTATCGAATAAGTGAAAATTTTTATTTGAATCCTCGAGTGGCTATAAGCTATGAAATTACTGAACTCTTTCCCGAGGACTCGTTGCATATGCATACGCATTTCGCTTCCATTTTCACCCATATTCTTGCGCCCTCCGTTACAGCCAGCCGTTGGTATATCGCGTCGGGGTGTAATTTTATTATCTTCCTCTCCTTTCCGAGGCCAGGCCCCTTTCGTCGCGCCGGTTCACGCTGTTATTTAAGTTGCGTTTTACTCCGCTTCCTTTTTGCCTCGCCTTTGCAGCCGACTGCAACTCTCTCTCCGTTATCCACCTTTTCACCGCCTCTTCTCCTTCTTCTTCTTCTTCACCTTCTCTAATACAGATACGAGCTTCCCTTTTGCTACGTTGAAATTATGGAAAGAAGGAGGCGATGGCTATCTCCGCCGTACGTATATTTCTCTCTCCATCTTTTTTTTACTTTTTCTTTGGTATCCAACGCTGTGTACATTTGGTTCGGGATGTTTCTTAAGAACCGCGACTCACGTCGAATAAGACCGCGCTTTACGCGGCTCGCGATTGAGAAGAAACGCTCCCTCGTGCCTAAGTAGCGAGGAATATGCTCGTCCCTTTTTCCCAGGAATTTTATTTCTCTCCCTTTGTCTTATTCATCCCCCGCCGTCAATGATACATGTCGTTCCATACCGTGCCGCGTCTTCAGTTTTAAGAAATTCCTTTGTCTTAAAGCTGTGAGGGGTCGCGGTTCCGCGTTTGAAGAACAAAGGAGCGTAACGCTCGCAGCCCGAAAGACATTGCATTTAGTAGAAAAAAATGTTCCCCATAAAATTTCATCAAACGAAATTGTGATACTTCGTATAAAACGCGATATATGCGCTTATATCATTTCTCCATCAGTTAATTAAATTGGACTTTTGTAAGCTGGTGGAACGTGTGATATTTGTCACGTGTCGAGAAATATTTTTGTCGTGACAATGCGGTAACGCGAATTTCGAAGCGTAGCTATTTTGAATATCGTGGCAGGAAACAAGTTAGAAAGTTCGCATGTGTGCAACGGCGTTGAATACATTACACGTATGAGTGTACATCGCGTGATGCAACTCAATTTACCCGTGCCCGCGCGGAGTCAGCCAAGGAAACAGCTGTGATAGAGTTATTTAAATATTTCAAAATGTTGCTAAGTACAGGGCTACAAATCTTCCCGGCAAATAGGCTGGAACGGATTCTATTTTCTTTTTAAATTCTACAGTTTTTGTATCTCGTTTTACTATCGTAAATATTTATCATCGTATTTTTATTAGAAATATGAATCAAACGAAATGATTGATATTACACTAGTAATCGTGACTGATGTTCACGTAGACAATCACGGAAGAAAGATAATATTTTTAAAATAAGGGGAGAAGCGGATGATGGAATCAGCAGAATCTATCGGTCGGGCTAAGAAGATAATCTTCGGCTGGGGGAGGGAGATAGATCTCTACGGGGCAAAGCACCTAGGGAAACGATATTAGGGCGTACTCACAGTGCACGTGCAGCATCATCCGTTTGCTGACTGTTGGTGGTACTCCGTTACTCGCGATGCATAGGTAGCTGCCCATCTCGCTTCTGGTTACTTTCGACAGAGTCAGCGTTTCACCCGCGGCCATAGACACTGCAATCACATACACCCAAAAGGGATTTAAGATTTCCAAGCTCCGTCTTGTCGATACGAATTAATTATTTCCGATTTTAAGATTTTTAATTGAATCAAGGATTTGGAGAACGAAGAATTTTATACAGATAATTTAACCGGAAACCATTCTCAAAAATGAACTCTACTTTAGGATTGGATCACTCGCACTTGTTAAATATGTATAAAATAGAAATAAAACAGTTAATCAGTTTAAATATTAACTCGTCTTAAGCTTGAGAAATAATCGTTATGGACTGCAAATAGTCGAAGCTCTTCGCTGATTCACTGGAATTTTCAGTTAGATTCTGCAAGTTAGTCGGAATTCCAATAAGGATTAGACGTTTCAATAAAAAAGCTTATTAGATTTATTACACTGTGATTCTTAATTAAAAGTAAGATTTATGTATCATAGTGCAGATAATTTCTAATGTTCGATTATCTGATCGAATCTCGACGTCAATGCGATGGAAAGCTACTTACGCACATCGATTGGCTGATCCTAAATAATCGCACGTGAATAGATTACTATAATCAAACAAGCCGAATTGGATACGGTACGAAGCTTAAGGTCGTCCTTTCAATTCCCTATGAATCGTGTGAGTAGGTATAAACACAGTATTCGTTCATGAAGAAATTTTGTCAGGCGAGCTTGAATTGTTCAACAGCCACGTTTTGTTACACGTGGAAATCAATTTTTAAAGAGTGCGAGTGGATCCATTGGGTACAGCTCGAAAATAATTTTAACTTTGTATATTTAATACTTATATTATTATTATGTTGAATGAAAAATGGTTAACATGTTCCATTTCATGGAAATAATGTATTGCGAACAATAGATTTTAATACAAAGTTATGTCGAATTTGAAATAAATCCAGATATTAAATTTTTACCGCGTGCCGAGCATTTTCGTTGACACTGCTCTTTTGATCCGGGGGATTTTTTTGGAAGTGGCAAAGTTATGATTTATGAGTTTAAACATAGGGGAATACATTGACGAATTGGTTCTAGTCCCGATCCCCTATTTTACGAGTTAGGCTAACTTTTAAAGACAGTTTTACTTCATAGGTTCATCAAAATTGATGCAATCATATATTATATCACTCATTATATGAAATATTCTGTTGTCGACCGGCAGTGCATGATGGAAATGGGTTGACGTGGTTAAAATACTCACTTTTTGTTTTGCTGCCGGACGACCCGGCGCGGGAGATAATATCGGCGCCGTCCTCCCGCTTCCAATTGATGTCAGGTTTTGGATAACCGCGAGCTTTGCATACCAGCTTCGCGGATCCGCCCTCGGGTACCATTAGGTCGTTCGAGGTCTCCTCGGATATTATGTCCGGCGGTATCACCACTTCCAGGAACGCGCTCTGTAAATTCGATGAATCGACGACTCGTTATCCGAGTTTCGCGCTGAGGAAAAGTATTACACATTGCGTCCTCCTTAGATCTCCATTGAGTGTATCTCCATCAGCGACGCAAACCGTATTTATATCAGGATAACTTATAATAACCGAGCTTTCAGTCAAGGCGTATTCAAGAAAGTATTAAGGTTTTGGTATGCTGTCTCCCGGTGAAAGAGATACTATCAATAGCGGTCACGAGTTCACGTTTCGTGAATACTTTTCATCAGTCAGCTGTAATTACATGAATTGCGCAGAAAAAAAGAAATTACTCCATTTAGAAACTCGCATATTGATGTCCGACGTTGAAGTAACACGTCTCCGTTTCGTGATAATAGAGTAGTTCGTAAGATGCTTCGAAATTTTTCTGACGTCTAATGCGATCAATCAATTGATTTTCGTACACAATTCTGTACTTTAACAGAAATATTAGTTGCACGAGGCGCGGAACGAATTTCACTTTAAAATGAATACCCCCGACGGTCTGGCATCGCGTACAATAAAAATCTGACCCGGATCTAGGGTAAAAAGATTCTCTACTCCTCGGACCATTTTCCTTTTCCCTCTCTTACACACGTATACCCGTAGAGCACGCTACGACGTATATTTCGTTTCTTTTTTCTTATCGTGCGCCCGCTATTCCAAAAGGATATACATAGTCTTTCTCCGTACCTGACTCTTCATAGGATTCGTGTTGACCTGACACATATAAATGCCTCGATCTTCTTGGCGTGCCCCGCGAATGTTCAACGTCCACGTGTTGTAGTCGCTGTGTGTTACTGATAAACGCGCGTCGTTCGTGATCACGTGCTCGTGAATCGCCAGGACAGCCTTGGTGTCCGCTTTGAGCCACGCCACCTGGCCTCACAAACCCATTTCTTAACACGTTGGTTACTTTCTCCCACACGGCCTCACTTACTCTTAATAATTCTATGCACAGATTCATTGTTTCAATGCGTTTTAATTCCCTAGACAAACTCACTCGTACGCGTCGCCACAAAAATTAAGCATTCTCGAATTCAAAATTATCATTAGCTCAACTCCGATCATTCATTATACTGATGTTGTTTATTCATTGTTCTTCATTCATATAAACTGCGAATTTTATGCGTTCATAGAAAAATACATTCAATACACAAGGAATTACAGAAAGGATGAATCGTGTGAGTAGGTATAAACACAGTATTCGTTCATGAAGAAATTTTGTCAGGCGAGCTTGAATTGTTCAACAGCCACGTTTTGTTACACGTGGAAATCAATTTTTAAAGAGTGCGAGTGGATCCATTGGGTACAGCTCGAAAATAATTTTAACTTTGTATATTTAATACTTATATTATTATTATGTTGAATGAAAAATGGTTAACATGTTCCATTTCATGGAAATAATGTATTGCGAACAATAGATTTTAATACAAAGTTATGTCGAATTTGAAATAAATCCAGATATTAAATTTTTACCGCGTGCCGAGCATTTTCGTTGACACTGCTCTTTTGATCCGGGGGATTTTTTTGGAAGTGGCAAAGTTATGATTTATGAGTTTAAACATAGGGGAATACATTGACGAATTGGTTCTAGTCCCGATCCCCTATTTTACGAGTTAGGCTAACTTTTAAAGACAGTTTTACTTCATAGGTTCATCAAAATTGATGCAATCATATATTATATCACTCATTATATGAAATATTCTGTTGTCGACCGGCAGTGCATGATGGAAATGGGTTGACGTGGTTAAAATACTCACTTTTTGTTTTGCTGCCGGACGACCCGGCGCGGGAGATAATATCGGCGCCGTCCTCCCGCTTCCAATTGATGTCAGGTTTTGGATAACCGCGAGCTTTGCATACCAGCTTCGCGGATCCGCCCTCGGGTACCATTAGGTCGTTCGAGGTCTCCTCGGATATTATGTCCGGCGGTATCACCACTTCCAGGAACGCGCTCTGTAAATTCGATGAATCGACGACTCGTTATCCGAGTTTCGCGCTGAGGAAAAGTATTACACATTGCGTCCTCCTTAGATCTCCATTGAGTGTATCTCCATCAGCGACGCAAACCGTATTTATATCAGGATAACTTATAATAACCGAGCTTTCAGTCAAGGCGTATTCAAGAAAGTATTAAGGTTTTGGTATGCTGTCTCCCGGTGAAAGAGATACTATCAATAGCGGTCACGAGTTCACGTTTCGTGAATACTTTTCATCAGTCAGCTGTAATTACATGAATTGCGCAGAAAAAAAGAAATTACTCCATTTAGAAACTCGCATATTGATGTCCGACGTTGAAGTAACACGTCTCCGTTTCGTGATAATAGAGTAGTTCGTAAGATGCTTCGAAATTTTTCTGACGTCTAATGCGATCAATCAATTGATTTTCGTACACAATTCTGTACTTTAACAGAAATATTAGTTGCACGAGGCGCGGAACGAATTTCACTTTAAAATGAATACCCCCGACGGTCTGGCATCGCGTACAATAAAAATCTGACCCGGATCTAGGGTAAAAAGATTCTCTACTCCTCGGACCATTTTCCTTTTCCCTCTCTTACACACGTATACCCGTAGAGCACGCTACGACGTATATTTCGTTTCTTTTTTCTTATCGTGCGCCCGCTATTCCAAAAGGATATACATAGTCTTTCTCCGTACCTGACTCTTCATAGGATTCGTGTTGACCTGACACATATAAATGCCTCGATCTTCTTGGCGTGCCCCGCGAATGTTCAACGTCCACGTGTTGTAGTCGCTGTGTGTTACTGATAAACGCGCGTCGTTCGTGATCACGTGCTCGTGAATCGCCAGGACAGCCTTGGTGTCCGCTTTGAGCCACGCCACCTGGCCTCACAAACCCATTTCTTAACACGTTGGTTACTTTCTCCCACACGGCCTCACTTACTCTTAATAATTCTATGCACAGATTCATTGTTTCAATGCGTTTTAATTCCCTAGACAAACTCACTCGTACGCGTCGCCACAAAAATTAAGCATTCTCGAATTCAAAATTATCATTAGCTCAACTCCGATCATTCATTATACTGATGTTGTTTATTCATTGTTCTTCATTCATATAAACTGCGAATTTTATGCGTTCATAGAAAAATACATTCAATACACAAGAAATTACAGAAAAGGAAAAAATGAATTACAGTTTTGAAATTATTTTGTTTTGCATAAAAATGTACAGTGTATTGATATTAGTAATAGTTATCACTTCGTAATGAGCTATACTCATCTGGATTTAATCATGATTAATAAACGTCGAAATTTAATTAATGCTTACAAGAGAAAATTTTATTAACCCTTCAGACGTTCTAGACAATTTTGAATTGTCCTCATTTAAACCAGGTGTGCTTTCGAATAGGAAGACGTATAATGCCAAATAAGCAGGGCCCGCTTTGAATTCGAGCATGCCACGTTTTTGTCTTAGAAATGCTGCGTTTTAATTAACTTGAACGTAATAAAGATAGGAAGTTCATATACTTGTGGAAGGATCTAATGAACGCTTCACACGCATAGGAAGCAAATTATTTTGTTTATCTTTTAACTACTTATTAACATTTCCTTTCTGGTTACAGATACTTCTACAAGTTTATGTGATAAGTTTCTTAACGCCTCTTAATAGATATAATTACTAACTTTCCCGTCTTACGAACTTTTCATCAATTACATTATCTAATTGCTTTTTAGATATATGATAATTTATATTTTATTTTTCCTGTTAATATACCTATTAGGAAATATTTCATTTCTGTTTTTGCACCGTCGCACATAGCTCAGATTGAATTTTGAAAAACGAAGTGAAAGAATCCTGTACTAAATGATTGGAATTCTAAAGTACCTATGACCTACGCTATCAACGATGTCTATTCTCTTCAAGCTAATAACTGTCTCCTAATTTATTCGTTTAAATGTATTTACATATTCAATGACTGTCAGATTTTATACTTAAAAGATTTATTTATTACGCTAATTATTCTCAATATTGCAATGCGATTCCGATCTCTCTGTTTGAAGTTCTTTAGTGATCAATTAGGGTAAGTTTCGAACCTGATGAGACCATCATTTTAATGAATTATTTTAATCCCCAAACTTTTAAGCGCCAGTACTGGTCGTGGTTTAAGGAGTATCAATATACGATGAATTCCGGATGGAATTCGTTTTGCAAATGTCAACGTTTGGTAGAAAGTTTTGGCGAGAATCGTCACGACGGTGGCTTCCTTATTTCGCATAGATATTATTGGCACGAAATTGAACTGGGTTGGCGGCATGTCGAATATCTGACCCCGTGCCGCTTTGAAAGGCTATCTATCAACCAACAAAAGAGGTCTGCGGTTCTTATCGATAACTCGAAAGCGAAGTGTACAGAGAAGCGGGAGTGGTGTTCACCGAGAGGGATGCTAAAGCGGGAGGGAGTGAGAGGGAGAGAGAGAGAGAGAGAGAGAGACACGAACGGATAGAGAAGGGTGGTGGGCTTTGAGTGTTTGGTACTGACGGCCCTGTGAGTGCCTCCACTTATAATACATTATACGAGGATAATAAACTCCCCCTCCCGTTCCCCCTTCTGGCTCCAAAAACGAGCTCTCCTCGGGAACTGAAAAAGTCTCACGAACGACAGATGCTCCCGATTCTGAAACATTTATGCCACTTTCTCGCCCCGGTCTCACTTCCTTCTCTCTTTCCTTTCACGTCCCGCCACTTTTCAACGACGATTCCTCGATGGGGTGATTAATCGTCTCACAGAGAGAGAGAAAGAGAGAGTAGACAGTGACTTTTGAGGAAGATTTTGCTGCAGTCAATGCACTGAATTATTGAAACAATCGAAGTTCCATTTGCTAGTTATAGAGAGTGCGATACAAATGAAATATCTCTGTGATTCTTTTTATCTTTATGTACTTTTATATGCTAGAATTTTTCGTCGAAGAATATTAGAGCCTGTCAGCTTTTTAGAATAGCCGAACGACGATAACAATCTATCTCATAAAACTGCAGGAGAGGAAATGGAAACAGAGGACAGTAGAAACGGGCGATGTTGGTCAGACTGTGCTTAACAAGAGTAAATGTACGCAAGCGTTCAAATAATCCGAACCAATATTTTATATTTCCCCTGTCTCATATAAAATATGACGTTTCTTCGTGCGACACTCACTTTCGTAATTAATTTCGCTCGATCACGTGCATACATCATAGGAATTTATTCGTTCCGAGCGTGTTGATTCAATATCACGGAGGACTTCACAGGGAAGACTGCCGGTCAATATTTGCCGTAATGTCATTCGATACTTTCCAACTCGCAACGCTTGTATCTGATTTGTTTTAATTCGTTTGCAATCCCGTTACGCTGCGGATTTTTATGCGTTTCAATTTCGGTCCGCGAGAAATATGAAAAATTCATCGGGACACGAGGGAACATACGAAATGTTAAAAGCTAAGTGCATACATAGTATTTAGAGATTAAACGAGATTCGTTTAAAACAGTTTTACTTTGCATAATGTTAAGAATAAAAATTCTCGTCTATGAAAAAAATAATCTAAATACAATAAAGTGATTCTTTGATATTTATATAAACCCCAGTTCATATCAGCCTAATTCTTCAACAAATTTACAGTGTTACAAAATTTGTTTCCATTGCAATTAATCTGCCGTCCACATTTTTTAAAAACAGTTCCAGTCTGAATAGAAAAGCCAAGCTCAGGAAACCGCGTTTGCTTGTTCCAGCATAGAAAAAAGACGATCCGCCTCTTTGCATCGGCGAGTGGAAATATTCAGGAGAAGTCGAAAGTCGCGGAACGATCCACGGTGGATCACAGCGAGAGAAGATGAAGGGGAAGAGGGTTTCGGAGGAGGCAAACCCTTTACTCGTTCGGGAAAGCTCTCCGGCCGCGAAATACAGACCCGAAGAAGGGTTCCGTGTGTAATCCTGGCTATGGGAACGAGCCGTCCCGCAAGAGATCACAAATTTACAGCACAATGAGTTCCGCGTCTTACGAGGCCGCGACTTAAACTACGAAGTACGAAGACGAGTTTACCTTCAGCGAAAAATAACTCAATACAGCTTCCCGTACGCATTATCCATCGATGAGATGATGTAGTTCACTTTTGGGAGTCAGTAGAAAAAGTTACAAGAATTTTTATATAAAATTAATTCTCTACAAGTTTATGTTTTAAGAAAATTAAGGTAGATTCGTAGTTGATTATAGATTTTATTAACTGGTGAGTTATAAGCTGAAGTGGATGCACGTAGAAGGGATAAGAGGTCGATGGAAAGACGGCGATAGAACAGGCGAAAGGTGAAGAAGAGAGAACCGAGGACGTGGAACCCTAGTCAGATATAATATCACACTACGTGCACCTATCTCTCGTGGTCTCCATTCTCGGGCCTCTTTCATATGCAAAACCATCGTCGGCGCTCTATTGTGGCGCATTGTGGGATCAGGAGCCTCGGTCCAGTCTACCACACCTCGTTTATTTCCCGCCATCTTCTCGTACCCTCTTTTCCCTTCGCCCCCTCCCGGGGGTCCATCCTATTTCTTCCATCTCTCGTTTCTTGGCCCTCCTTTCGCATCCCCGCTTTTATTTTCTCGACTTCTGTTTTCGGTAGCGAGCCACGGCTGTTCCTTTCAACGGCATGCAGATAAATGGATAAGCTCGCTAATTAAAAGTTTCGCAGCGGCCCGCTCCCTTACCCTGACGCTTCCGTTGGTCATCCTTCCACCGGTCTAACGTTATTTCTTCGCTTCACCCTTTTCTGTCTTGTCCCTTTGCGTTTCGCTTTACGCTCGAGATTTCACCGGGCATTATTATCTCGGCTTTTGTTCGCTGCTGCTCCTCGCGGACCAACTTTAAATGTTAGAATTTATTACAGGCCGGTTACAGTGAAACGCACTCACCCGTGCGTCGTGCATTTGCACACGCGTGCGATTAGCCAGGCTTACGCGTCGGCGACATGCGACCGTCATTTTTCCCGTCATCGCGCGTGTCGAAACCGTCTCCCCACCCACGACGCAATATATTTTATCGAAAGGTACGTAAATCCATTAAATCGAACCGACTAATAATTCTGGCCAAACGATTCTCCACATTTACATGTACGGAAATGAAACAATTGTCACAGCGAGGTTTAACGATGTCGTTTATGGGTGTCGATATTGATAATCGATGAAATATTTTCGTAACAGGACCATCTTTTTTTCTAACCGACATATCGAGAAGCTATAAAAGAAACATCGATGAGCAATAGATCCCTAGATTTAAACTTTTTCATTGCGTTTATGAGTCAGATTTATGCACACCAAGACGAGCCGCGTAAAGATACGCGAATCATCAATCAGATGCAACAACTTTAATGCCCGCTCGTTCATTCAGGTTTAATAATCCTTTGCGACGATGATAACGCGTTTTTACCGAAACCAATAAAAAACCGAGTCGTATATATCTTTTATGTGTACGCGTTTAATGCTTTAAGGCAGAAACGAATGGTCAGACCGAGAAACGTTCTCTTGAATTATTTTCTACGAAATAAATATTGGTTCACCGCGAGAAAGATCTGAAAGTTGATTCAAGAACGGAATGTAATTATCTTCCAGCACAACTTTCCATAATTTTTAAATATCAGGCTTTGCACGTACAGAAATTAGAGAAAAACTGTTATCTCTGGCACAGCATAGGTGCGACGGCGTGTAAAATCCCGACGCGATAAAACTGAATGTTTAATTTTATCGTGGCCATTTTTTAGAGTAATCGTAAATAATCAAAGGGACGTCGGATGGGAATTCATTGAACGCTTCACGCGGTAGCCTGTTACATCGCTAAACAGATTAGTCCGCGCGCCGTCCGTGTACCGAGTAGATATGAATTTTGGGGAACCTTTGATGCATGCACATTCGTCTGGGGGCCAAAAGCTTAGCTTAATCCTCCAGACTTTCGTAATTTGTGTCACGAGCTAAACGAGTTGAAACTTCCCCGGGAATCTGTACCTTTGCCTTCCCCGCGGAGTCGTCTTGTTTTTCGGTTTTGATTCACCGTTTAACGTGGACCTACGCCGTTCTCAGTTACAGTCCAGTTTTAATGCAAACGCCCGTTTAAATCACAGCTTTATCTTGCCGTCGCGTTTCTTGCGGTTGACGGGGAATATATTTTACACACGGTGATACATTGAGACGGATCACTATTGGGAATTTCCTTGATTCAACGTTTGACTGCGAAAGAACAAATAAATCAATGTCTTTCACGTTTTCAAAAATTTTCTTTCAAACTGCATAAACTAATATCTGAACTCTGGGATTCTTTCTAAAATTCTTCAACATCATTTGCCGAGAGGTAATCCTTTTTATTCAGTTGAGATATTTAATACGTACTTTAATAGAGATTAAGCTCTGTACAAAGAGAATACGAGATTCTCAGGCGTATTTCCTTTAAAGACTGAAGCAATGGATATGCTAATAATAGATTATAAACAATAGGACAAGGATCTCTGAGGACTATTATAATGAATCTCGAATTCTGAATCACGGTTTTGTTATAATGCATGCGGCAGGGTTTCGTTTTGAATACCGAGCTTTATACGTTCTGATGAATTAGCTTGGCGATTCATTATTTCGTCGTGGAATTGTTAACACTCGTAAATAAATTATCACGTGTTCAATTAATACACTGGATTGAAACTGAAGATTCATTGAGCAATTAAGATTGGAACCTTAATTTCAAGTATAAAATCTGACATCACATGTTCACTAATATGTACGCCTATCACTAGCCTCTCCTTCTACCTTCTATTCAATTAGCCTCTCTTATCAACCTTATTTAATCTAGATTAATGCTTATTCAAAAACATGCTCATGCAACCTCGGTCATCACCTCTCATTGTCATATTTAGTCATGCATCAAGGCACATGCCTCGCACAAGTGATAATTCAGTGATACGCTAAAAACAATCCGACGTAATCCAACTCGCTCGACTCGATCGTCGAGGCACCGCTATTTTTACTTACGATGCATAACACATCTTTAGAACACTGTGCACTCAACTGTCGTCCAATGCAGCTTGCATCATATAATTTCATCCCACGAACAAACAGTCTCAAGTGTGTTGTGCGATTGTGGAGGAACAGTTTCTCTTCTTTCTTTTTTTAATTCTTTTTGCATGTGCATTTTGAATTCATGTGGTGAAGAAACAGCTTCGTGTTTGTTAAACGTAGTCGGGTTCATTTATGAAGTAGTCGCACTATTGATGAACCCTCTACAACTCAAATTTTACTTGAATCTCTCTCTCAAAAAAAAAACTACAAGCAAATAATTGATTCAAGTGTAAATGAATGTACATTTATCTTTTTAAGTTATAGAGGGTTGAAAGTGTTTAATTAGTTATTCGTTTTTCAATTACGTAGTCATCTCAATTTTGGTGTTTAAGCGTTAAAGCTTAACTCTAAAAAGCCAGGAAGCTATTTACCGTGCTTCAAATGATTTCACTGGTTACTGGAAATTCATGATAATCTGCTTTCCTAAATCAACTAATAAGGCAAGTTCAATCTTTGAGAAGTTATTTCTTAGAAATTGAGATAATTAGAAAGTCACCTCACACACGTTATAAAGTATCTCGAATATCTACAATTTCTATAAAATTGAATTATTACAAGCACCTTTTATACGTATATTATTTGGATAATTTAAAGGCAAAAGTTGAACAAAGTTCCGATGCTTTTACATACGCGAGGACCGAATGTAAATGGCAGATTTCGATCGCAATACAATAAGAACTAGCAATTCGAATCTAAAGTCTGGAAGGAAAAGCGAAATCGTCGTTGCTGAAACTTGTATTTCTAACTGCCGTGGAATGTCGTCGACTCGCTGCAGAATGCATTTATTGCCAGCCATTCATCGGCGTCTGAATGGGAAGATTAAGCTTTTCGAGTACGCTTATTTAAGTTACTCGTCTTGCTACACGCGCCAACCACGAAAAAGGAATATTCACGGTAGACTTCGCGACGCGTGGGAGAATATTCGGGCCGGGAGAGCGAAATTCTATCTTGAAATTTTCTTGGGGCGCAGTTCAAAGAGAATCTTTTTTCACAAATGGGATTTATTCTTCATTTACTGTTTGATATTCAATGGGAAAATTCTAAAGAGTCATCTGAGTCTAGAATATTTCTGTACTGGTTAAACGTTTGGGTATAAATTACAAGATGTGTTAGACGAAAGATTTTCGTTTGGAGAGACAATTTGCTTTGACGCCTGATATTCAATATAAAAATTCTAAAGGACAATTTATAACGTTGCAGACTTGTTTATTGGTTTAACGGGTTGCTGGGCGTAAATCACAAGACATCAGACGGTTGGACCGCCGCACGGCGATTTGTCATTCAGCGTATTCGCAAAGGGGCAAAGATACTCGCCGTGTTTACGACCGTATATATGCGCATACATTTGGCGCAAGACTTTAACCGGGTCTCTTGATCATGAGGATGAAAATGAAAATGATAATTTGTCGTATACTAAATCAGCAAGTCAAATACGCGCGAGTTAGGCGTCGTCGCCGTCGCGCTTCGACCGCGCCGCGTCCTCCGAGAAAGAATGATGATTTCCACGACGATGAAACAACGCGTGAACCGAAATTATGCATGCACTCGCGAATCGGGTTTTGTCATTTGTCTATTACCCCTCTCTGTCCTTCAATTTCATCTTTTACGATAGATCAATTGGGTTTAAAGAAAAATCAATTTTCTTTTTACGACAGTCCTAGTTTTATAAATTGTGATTTAGTACAGTTGTCTAGTCGAGATCATAATATTTTTAGCCGTCCTCGTTTTTCTTTTAACTAATTGGGAAACATTGAATGTTTAACATCTCTTGATAAATAGTCACGGAAACGATGTGTAAACAAATTGTGGACAGTGAACAAAAGAATGAATATGAAACACGAGGCAATTCGATTTTGGAAAAAGCGTGTTGCACGTGAAAATGCATAGATCATAATACGCGTACATGTATCGCGTGTCTACAGATACGCTATCCTGATTTCTCTAGAGCATTGGTTTTTTTTTCAAACAGGAATAAATAGAGCGTGAGCAATTCGATGAAACAGCTATGCTTTTTTACCCTTTTGACAAGTTCAACCAACGCCAATTAAATAAAGCTCGTGTTTCGTAAAATGAATTGAATTACTTTTATCCGCGAATTTTGTAGTTATTCGCGTTTCGACTCCGAATTCATTTCCCAAACAATTTTCCGGTCTATTACTATTTTCAGACTACTTAAAAACACATATTCATACTTTTTCAAGGGGCAACGTTTCATATAATTAATTACAAATCACTTTGATTAAATTTTATCTTTAAAATAAATTCGCTGTGAAGCAGTCTTTCGAAAAGCACATGCCAGTTTTGTATCGACTCCACCAGACCTGGTTCGCATCGATTTTTCCCAATCGTTAAAACGCGACAATTATCGAGGTAAAAATATTTCACTTTACTACTTCTTGTTTTATAAAATTCCAAGAGAAAATCAATTTTCACGAATACCGACGCCGACGAAGACGATCAAATAAATGTAATTGTAGTTTGTTAAGAAACAGCTGTTTGTCAATGGAAGACACTCTTTCTGATTGTAATGTCGATCGCGATTGAAACGCTCGAAGCGAACAAGCCGAACTCTGTGCACTATCTATATAGAACAATCGTGAACCCAAGTGTGGTTAGGGAGGAACAAGTCTAGCATGTTTCGCCACTGCTACAGCGGCAGCGGTGAGAAAAACAATGAGCGCCAAGTTTCTCGCGAGCTATCGAGCCAGCTATTCCGCGAGTAGTGTTCTTTCTCTCATTCTTTGCTCGTTTCCATACTAGCAATATACGCGGGGCCTTCTTTTCATTCGTATTCCCCGGACTCTTTTCTTTCGCGCGTCTCGTTATCCGAAGGGGGACCACCTTTCCGGTCGGAAGAGTCCGGAGGAAAAGCCGAGGTACGGGACGAAAAAGAAAGGAGATACGCGTGTGTATATACGCGAGAAGTTGAAGTCACGCGGGGCTCCTAGCACGTTCGCTCTTGTGCAGCGCTTCTGTATATCGGTTGATGGGTGAAAATGGATGCCCTACAGAGAGACAGAGAGAGAGAGAGACAGAGAGAGAGACAGAGAGAGAAACAGATAGAAAGAGACAGACAGAGAGAGTGAGATATATATATATAGATATATATATATATATATATAGTATATATATATGCTTGGTGATGGTGGCGGCTGCTGCGGTGGTTTTCTTTTTCATAGCTCTGGCAGTGGTGCAGTTAAATGCAGTGCTGTGAGGTGCAGGCACACGCGCATATAAGTAGTGCAGTAGTAGTAGTAATAGTAGTAGTAGTAGTGGTGGTAGTAGTAGTAGATAAGGTAGTCCATTACAGGCGGACACAGGTTAATGGTAAAATAGTTACCCGGGCCTTGGCGCCGCCAGAGTGATCTCCGCTCGCGGAGGAGGAAGGACTCACCCGGTATCCACCGAGGTTGCTCACCACGCAGGTGAAGGTTGCGTCTCGACCCTGCGGGATCGTTATGTTCTCCAACGGGTATACGAAGTCTGGCTCGAGCCCCGTCACTGAAACAATCAAACTTATCGTCTTTAACCGTCCCGCTATTATAATTTGATGAAACGCACCGGTTCTTCGCAATTGATAATTTTAAAAAAACGTTGAATTACTCTAATAGCGTTTTTTGACTGTCGTGTGGTGTTTAAATGAATTTTATTCAAACGAATACCCTAAGCTCGAGGAAAATAGAAAATTGTGAGGATTAAAAAGTAAATTCGCGGAAGGGTAGCTCTGGTGTAAAAAAGCCATGGAGATAACATTACTCCAACTCGTAGAGGAGCGAGATAAGCGCTTGCATAACTAATGTTCAGGGTTATGGATTAAAGTATTCCTAGTGATAATCGTCGCCCTACTTTTTTCTCCTTTTCAACTGTGACGTTTTATTGAAATTCAACGTTACTTTTCAAAAAATAGGAGAAACATTTATCTTTTACAAATAAAAAATTCTAATGGTTCGATGAAAAGTTGAGATCTCTTCAGGTTCGTAATATAAAATGAAATTAAAAATTGTTTATCATACTTCACTTTTTGATACAATTTCCAAATGGGTAAAAGATAAAATTGTCTGATATCATCGATATTGAAATGCGATATTAAATGAATACGCATTTTACAATAGAATTAAATTAAAATCGCTACTCGCGCATAATTCTGAAAATACGCCGAATAATTTACTTTTTACTTTGTCCGCGGAGCGGAACGTTTTTCGAAATTACCCACACGAAGAATGTAGTTACCAATCAATGAACACTCTCATACGGCAGCCCGATTGTTAATTCATCAGGCTCTTCACAATATTTTCCAATATCTACTTTCGAACAACAGAAACCGCGGGCTTAGAGATAACGAGAGGCAAAGAGCGCTCGTAAACAATCAAAATTATCTGCATCTTGTTAAATGAGCAGTCTGAAATTTTTTGAAATAAAATCTGCATATTAATGTGATATAATAGCTATTTATACATGCCATTTAATTTGGTAGAATTGCATCGATCGTATAAAATTTATATAAATCATTCAGAGGAATGCTATTTTTCTATACCGTATAAAACTGAAATTCGAGAAATATTGAAAATGATTTTCGAAGTAGAAAGAGTTTTTAATGGTTGCGTTCTTTCACACCAACTGTCATAAACTGCTGACAAATTCTCACCTAAATGACATTTGATTTTTCAAAAAATCCTTCCCATTTATTTTTTCTACGTTCCTCTCCGTTTACGCTTATAAAAAGTTATACATTTTCGAGTTTTTGTAAAAATCTGCAAGACGTTTGACGTAAAAGAATGATATTATTACATTCGCTGAATTATTATTTAATAGAAGAAAATGAATATGATGAAATTCATTATGTGATCATAAACTAGAACGGTACGACAGTGAAATTCAATTAAAACAGATTTTACTTTACGGTTCTGTGAAATTTAAAAAATTTCATTCTGACAAGAGACGTTGCACGAGTGACCTCACATGGTCAAAAGAATTCTTCTAAGCGACGTCTAGTGATGCTATAATAGGAGATTAAAAAAGAAAAATTTTGGAAAATCTGTGAGAAATTACTTTTCTCCTCAAAAGTTTGAATAAAAGAAAATGAATCTACATTATATCATTTTGTGGAAACGAATTAAAACGAATTTTAAAAAGGGAACACTTCTTTCTACTTCCTCTTTCAATCCTTTCAGAAATGATACAATTATTTGATCTGAATCCGTAGAAGGAAGGCAGTGAAATGTTTTCTCGTAAATCGCATTACAATGAAAAATTAGAAGGAAGCCTGGTATCTCGGACGACAGTTACGCAATCGGACATATATCACCGACGAAATAAAGGTGCGCTCAATAAAACCGTGGCTGTGTTCGGGAAGGAACTGATTCGCCTTGGGTTCTCCGGTTTTTCCAGAAAAACATAAACGAATTCAACCCGAGCATTGCGACTGGCTCGCCGCGATACCGCGTAACAAGAAACCACAAACGGTTGCGGTTAGACATATGTAATTCTTTGCCACCGCACATTTTTTGTTGGTATCAAGATACATTCTAAAATTAAATCTACGGCCAAGTGGATAATACGATTATCACGATTATGTTTCAAAACAATATTGAATTCAGTACGAAAATCGTCTATGTTAAAAAATCCTTCCTGTCATCATTGGAGCATTTAAATGCAAATATTTATAGAACTAGCAAAATTTCCAGTCGGAAGTTAAACGTCCGATTTTGATAACTAATTTCTGGCTCTCATTACGGACTTTTAGTCTATATTCATGCCAATGGAAGTGAGTCCTCGGTTCTAGTTCACTTTCCACCACAAATATGTAACTTTTCGAAATGTTTTCTAAAGAAACTCGTTAAACGAACATCCCGATTAGTCATTCCCTTTTTTACACAAACAAATGTCTAATTTTCGTTTCATAAAATTGAACGTGTTCGTTGAGATTAATAACGTGAAGGAAATTGTGGGAAGAGTTCCTTATCCAGTGGAAAGAAATCTTTAAAGCGTAGTTTGATTCATAGTTGGCCGCCAGGGTGGCAAGGGACGAAACGTGACCCGGCATTAAGTGCACTATAAAATATTGCGCTCATGTAAATATCCTCGTAAAATTCAGTCGGCACTCTTGCCGCATCTCGTCACGGCACGTCACGCCGAGTGCACGATAACACCTGAACTATAGTTCAATATCCCGTCTGTTTGTCTTTCTTAACTGAACATATGAAGTCCATTAATACTCGGCTTCGTTCATCTGTCAGTGCCACCAAAAATTACGAAGAATCACGGAGTGCACAGTATCGTACAAACTATCGTATAGTGAAATAAATGTCTACTTGAACTGAGCTTTTGAAAGCGCCTGTGTTTAAATCGTCAACCGGTCCCGACGATGATCGGCTCAGAAACTTGGCTCATACATTTTGAACACCGCCGTCAACTTTGCTCCCTGCTCGCTGGAATATTAACGAAAATATTCCGGATACCAATACGTGTATCGCGTAGCTCGCACCGTTGCGTTGACGAAGGGGAGAACAAGTGAATAAATAATTTCGGACGGCCCCGCAAATAGAACGACGTCGGCGGAATCTAAATATTAATATTTTGTCGGCGTTGCAAGAAACCGGGAGGTTTTTCGTTTGAACTGTCGTGTCACCGAAAACACGGCCGCGTTGGAACCGATGAAATAAATTTTTAGCTAACATCGCCGTGCGATACAGCCGCGCCGTCGAAATTCAGGCAACTTTTCAACTGCCGTGTGTACACGCGAATTTGTACCATTGTACCTCACAGCATCTTCCGGGCCAATCAAAAAGTTTAACCGCCGAAATTTTTATTAGAAACTTTTCCTGTCTTTGGTACCTTTGCAGTTTTCCTACGTCTTTTCCAGTAGTCTAAGATATAAGGTTTCTTAAAGAATAGCAAGATTTAGAAGATGACTTATTTATGTATCGAAAAAAGTTGTATCTATTCTGTGTGAACAAGATTTATTTCATTCATCCCTTAATTTGTCATTATTGATTGAAATAGCGAACGAATGAATATTGACAATAAACATCGCAAGAAGCAGTGGAATAAGAAAAGCCATTCAAATTGTCTCGTGTCTTCTGTGCGAACAAGACCAGTTTCATTGCTAGTTTCTGTTTCCGAAGGGGAGCTGCTCGTCTGTCTGCTCGTAATGTACACGGCGAGACGTACACAGGGAGAGTGGTTCTGTTTCGCCGAAGGAAACGGGAGTCACTTGAAATTGGAAACGCGGAGAAACGCCTTGGTTGTTACGTTGTCGCGTGCGATTTCGTTCGAGTTGATCCCCGGACAAATTGTACGCACGCGTGCGTGATTGGAGGCTGAAATGGAAAGCGACGTGGCCGGGGGTAAATCTTTTGTGCGGTAATTTTGATGCGAGCTTACAACTTGCGTATTGAGCGTCGAGCATTATCTCAGGTTCTCTTACCTTTCCCTCGTGTATTACATTAGCAATTACAAATTGTTTTGTACATAACGTGTAAATGATTCGGAGTATGTACAAGGAAAAATATATTTCGTTTCTAAAACGAAGTTGTTAAAATACTCCTGAGAAGTATAGGTAAAACGATTTACAGCGAAGAAGAAGACTAAGATTACAGTAATTAGCAATTACAATTACATAAGCTTAGGCGAGACACGGGCCATTAACTCTAATTGCAAGTATTCTCTCTTATTCTCGCTACTTCTTACTGCATCCCGAACTGTCTAGTCTCTCTAGTGTTTCTATTATTTAAATTGTTTCTTAAAAGGGGATTGCTCATTTACATTGAATGACATTAAACCATCTCCCTTTCGTACAAAATATGACTACTAACAAACGGACGAAGTAATATAATCGTCACGAAGCCGTTTGGTAAACTTCGAAATATTTAAATAAACTAATTAATATTGAAAATCAATTCTGTAAACGACCAGTGATGTAACTGACACGGAGAAGGGAGTACGCGTGCGATTAAAACGGCGCGCTTTAATTTCGCGCGGCGGAACCTCGGCGGCGAATGCAATTACTCTTGCAATCAATTTAGATAACTCGCAGTAGAACCGGCACGTAATTGTTAACGCGATTATACGGCTCAGCCCGCTGGAGACTGGAACAACGGTTAAAGAAGAAACGCGCCTCCCCGGACGAAAGGCCTTCACCCTCTTTTCACAGAGAAGACTTCGTTTGCAACGGGTCAAAGAAAGCTTCATTCTTCGGGTGGATTAGTCGAGTTTACATTGGGAGGAAAAACATTTATTATTCAATCAACATTTTGATACGACAGTCACCAATATGTACTTTTTAAATTAGATTGCGAATTTGTTGCATTTATACAAAAATTGAATGTGCTCGATAATTTATATGGCAATACAGTAACGATCAAGTAAGATGCATTTTTTAAATTGACGTTATAAATAAAAATCCGTAGTCTAAATGCTAAGTGAATAATTTGTCAATCTTATGAATCGAATTAACAGAGACATGCCTAATTCCAATGGAAACCAGTGTAAGTTCTAATTGT